TAATGGATTCCAAACAGAAAGAAGTTATTGTACAATGCAATATAAAATTTTGCATATTGAAGCATGGTAGACATATTCTATTTACTTAATTTTTAATTTTAATAATTTAATTATCATGATTGAAAGTAATAGTATATTAGTTGTTTATAAACTATTTAAAGTTTTTTCGTAATAACGTTGCAAGCGTATTCTACGCTTGAAAATAAGAACAAAATGCTATATAAACATAGGTCATTTAAAGCTTTATTTAAAAGTTATAACAAATGGTAAAATTGTTTAAATGTGCTACTGAAAGATGATATTTAGTGGCTCTACGTATGTTGTTTACTATTTTGAAGCGATTCAACATATTTTTTTGTAAATAATAGTTTGGTCGCTTAGATCACCTGACCTCACTCACACCGCTAGATTTTTATTTGTGGAGAAAACTAAAATAAGAAGTTTATGCAACTGAGATAGCTAAACTTGACATGGTGGAACAAATTAGGGATGCAGCTGCAGAAATTAATAGAAATCCACAACAAATTCATTATGTCATAAAAAGTATACTACAGCGGTATTATACTTATGTTCTCGTATGCAGGCAACATTTTTAACAACATATTTAAACAGTTTTACAATTTACACTATAACTTTTGAATAAAGCTTTAAATGATCTATGCAATATTTTTTTCTTATTTTTGAACGTAGAATACGCTCACAACGTTTGTATGAAAAATCCTCAAACATTCTATACATATATTTATCCGTATACTTATATGAAAATAATTATTTAAAACAGTATTAACAATGTGTTAAGGTAATTAAAATTTAATTAGATATATTTTAATATGCTAATATATAGAATTGTATGGCTTACTGTAACATATATATGTATAGAATATATCGCTCCTAGAAATAGCAATAAAAAAAGCTATTATAACAGGACAAAGTCCTAATAAAAAGAGGAAGAAGAAGATATATATATATATATATATATAAATAGCATACTGTATAAATTGATTAACACGTTGCCGCACACTTTTAATTTGATGATCGTGCTCAGAAACACATTTTTTTTCAATTGTTTATGATTGCCATATAAATTGAGTGTTTTTCCATGAAAACTCTCGATGTTGTAACCGTTATTTGTCTTCATATCGCGCTAAAAATGCCGTCATTTGCGGCAACGTGTTAACAATTATATTTACTTCATATTTTTATACGGATAATAAGATTAAAGTTATTTTGTAAGATATTATTTTATCCAACTATAATAGCTTATATAAAAGCTTACATAGATATAGTCAGTGCCTGACGTTCACGTATTGGTTTTATATCAAATATTGCAATTTCATTTGACATAAAATTATAAGGTATTGAAGTAATAAAATAAAATTCAACTCCAAACATCGCTGGAATAACGTTTCTGCGATTCCATTTGCTTAATGTACATTGAGGCCTCTTTTTCCGACATATTTCCTTTTTCTGTGACAACTTTTAGTAATATATTATGTACATCACGAGCCATATTCCTTGCATCGCTGTAAACAAATTTATTTGTTGAGTTATGTCTATATAATAAATATATATTTAATAAATAAAAGAATCAATTTAATTCTTTCGTTACGGCATGCTTTGACGCGAATATCGTTTCATATAAATTCGCTCGTAAATACGTATTGTCGCATGGTACGATCCCTATATGAGTCGCTAGTAACGAAAGGATTAAAAAGGTATAAGTATATATATAAGTTTTTAATTTATACTAACCCGCAAACATATATATGACCATTTTGTTCACCAATGACTTTCCATATTTCATCTTTATTCTTTTCAAGTAAATGCGTTACGTATACTTTTTCAGGCTGATCTCTGCTAAATGCGGTATGCAATGTCAGTGTACCATTTTTTACATATTCTTCTAATTCTTCTTTATACAAATAATCTTCCATCTTCTTTCTGCATCCAAAATATAATATCGTATCACCCACTTCTGTGCCTTCCTTCCTGGCCAAGTCTCGTTCTTGTATGAAACCTCTAAACGGTGCTATACCGGTTCCAGGTCCAATCATGATAATTGGGGTAGACAATCGCGGTGGTAAACGAAATTGTGATTTTCTTACGAATATAGGAACAACACAGGGTGGATTTGAAGGATGCTTTTCTTTTAACCAACTGGTTGTAACGCCTTTATTAATTCTACCCGTTGGTGTTTTATATTCCACGACAACAGCGGTAATATGTATTGAATTTGGATGAAGCTAAGACAAAGAAGAACAATATCATGTGTTTCAATATATACAATACACGCTTATATTAAAATAATCATATCGTAGAAATACAAAAAGGACAAATTATTACTTGGTCAAATTAAAAAAAGATATTTCTTCGACATACCTTTGGTGACGAAGAAATAGAATAATAACGACATTGTAATCGTGGTAAAATTTCACATAAATGATCCAAAGCTGGTTTCAGACTAGGAATATCTTCTAAGATATGTACAATATTTCTGTTTGCTTGAACGACCCATTGTTGATAGGCCGCTTTGCCTTCAACGGTGGTAGAGGCCATCAACTGTAATTTCTCTTTATCAACTGGATCGCTAGCATATTCCACTAATTCTTTTAGAATATGAGTTCTAGGATTACTGGTTATATCCAAATAATGAGTTAAGGCAGTTCTATATGTACAAGGACACGGGAATGGATGCGTTTTAGTGGATTCCTCTGAAATGACAACATTTTAAAAATTAATATAAAATTCTACACTGTTACATAATATATAATATATTTAATTCCTATTTAAAGCACACATACCATCTGTATTAGTAAGAGTGAATACAATATTTAAATCAACTCCACATTTTGCTCCAATTTTATTAACCAATTCTGAATCGTTGACAGGATATACAGCTAAATGGTCGCCAGATTCATAACGCATTTTAGATCCTTCTATATCCAACTCAATATGCATACAAGATCTATCGGATGTTGGACCATGTAATTCTTTGTTGATTTTGATCGGTGCCAAGAAAGGGTTCTTAGCGTCAAATGGTCTATATAAAGACAAATACAACTAATAAAAATTCATTAAACTCGACACGTTCGCTAGTTTGTTTTGTGAAGTTAATCTTATTTGGCGAATGAATAATTTATATTATTTTTAAAATATTATATTTTGTATGAATAAGTTCTTACGGTCTTTGAATCTTGAAAGAATGAAGACGTGCTATTTCTCCGGTGTAAACACGTTCAAGTAAAATGTCAACATGTTCCGTTAATTTATATTGTCTAATACTGACGTCTTCTTCTGTATCTTCAATACCAAAGTATTCACAAACAGCTGGCCAAAATTTGTCTTTCCAAGTAATGAAATCATCTTCTATACTATAATACAAAGTTAATATAATTTATAAATATTTATAAACATTATCATAATATAAAATAAATCAATAATTATTATCTTACTTAGCATCATCATCGCCTAATCCTAATTCATAAACACGAGTAGCTCCCAATTGTTCCAATCTGTGATCGACATATATGGCTACCTCATTGTAATGTTCGTAAGTTTTGTTTCCAAGTCCGAATACCTATACAAAAAATGAAAGAAAATACTTTACAATTGTTTAGAATATATCTTCTTCTTCCTTAATAATTTTGGTGACTTTAAAATAATTTAAATTTAAATTTGTGTACCTCAATTTCCAGTTTGCGAAATAGTACTAAAGAACGACACAACGTGGCGCTGTTCCGATGGATGATAGTGTTTATTACACGAGTCAAAGTTTGAAAACTCATTTTCACTAAATTATTATATATAGTATTTTTTATGTGTTACTTTACCAAATATGCAACAGTTATGAGAAAATAATTTTAATCTTATCACATAAAAATAAAAATTTTATTTATCTCTGAACTTAAAAAACTAATAAGTTACTTTTGAATGTAAAAATACATTTATAGCACATGATATATATAAGTGCTTATGTAACTTAAATGGACATGTTAAAATTTAAAATTAATAATATTATAAATAAAGTGAATAAAGTTGTATGTAAAATGTATATGTATAAGCTGTGTACACTGTGTGTGCTTCCACTTCGTTTTAAACTGATAAATATAACTATGATTGCTTCGTATCAGTAAGAGCATAAAGGTTATGTAGCCAATGTTAAAGAAAGAGGAGATATGACGTAACTTCCGGATAGATAGTTATTTAATACTGCGATCGTAATGAGATTTATGTTCTTAGAAAATTTTATCTTTTCATTATCAACAAATGTAGATAAAAGTAAATAAAATCTTTGATATAAATTATGATGTAAATAAAATTCAATTTTGTATTTATATTATTTTGTTAAAGAATGATATCTTTTACAAATAAATTAAAGTTCGCAAGTAAAATAATACATACTGAATAATTTAACCCTGTAAGATCTGGATTCCCATTCTTAAGCCAGTCAACAAATTCTAATGCGTTGTCTGTAGGATCACCTTCTCCATACGTGGCTAAACAAAATACTGCTAAGCTATTTTTAATCGTTTTCATATGCGTCAATTCTTCCTGTTAATAATGAAAACATAATAATAAACATCATGTTATGTATTCCGATCTGTAAATTCTATAAATCTTAAGAGATTTATTGTTTACCATCTCGCATTCCTCTGGATCTGCAACCATACCCTTCAATTTATATCGGATACCTTCCTTGGCTAATCGGCCTGCAAATTCTTCACCTGTTCCAGTTTGACTACCATAAAATACGACTAAACTACGTCCGGACGATATTAACTTTTTTGTGAAGGAATTTTCCGATGGTGTTAACGATGTAAACGATGTTGGTCTTTAAAAAGGAGAAAATAATTGTATACAAGAAGAGTATTTATATTTATACTTTGATAAATATGATGATACTTACTGAATGGAGTATGATTTAGGAGGAGGTGTGAATTCCTCTGGTTTATTTCTACGCATAAAAAGCCACCACAAAGCTGTCACAAATATGATTAAGAGTAGAAGAAAATCTAGCATAGTATAAGAAGTATCATCCAGAGTTTCAGTTTTGTTCTCATTTTCTAAAACTGGAGAACCAGCCATTCTTACTGCCTTTGGTTGTGATGCGTCTGCAATCTTTAATCAGAATGTAATGATATAAATTACATAAGTTGTGTTAATACGTTAAATAAATTTTTCATGTTATATGTATTGCAGATAACTATTATTGTATCAATGAGAAATATATAGCAGAAGCACCGATAAATGATTAATTAATATTATTTCACAACAAATTAAAAGTAGTAAGAATAACAATAAGAAGTTGTTATATTCTGATATTGTAATAAAATATAAATAAACGAAAATACAATGTATTCAATGCTTTGTTTTCATTTTCACAACGATTGAATTACTATACAGTAACCTAAGATTAGTAATAGTGTATTGTCGTAAGAGTACTCAGGGTCAAATATTTACAATTAATATTTATATTATAAATTGCGTCAGAGTTTATTTCCATCATTTTTTTTTTTAATAGTTTTTCTTCTATCACGAATGGAGCTTTGTTATTAAGTAGATTAGATTTTTTGCCTATTGATAAGTACTTAGAAAAAAAACTGAAGGGGAAAAGTAATCGCCGTTAAAAAACATCAAGTATTAAATTTATAATTATTAATTTGTCATTTAAATTTTAAATAAAAATTATATTAAATTTTATTACATAGATTGATAATGTATTAATAAATTAACGGATCTATTATTTTAATAATAAGAGATGTTCGTTACGAAAGATTACTTTCTATTGTGATTGTAAAAGAAGCGTGATATCATCTGGCATTATTTTGCGGTATCATTATTTTCAAAATTCATCCGCGTTTCTTCTGCGTTTTATTTCGACATAACCTGCAATTTTGTTTATTAATTAACTGCAATATTATCAAAATAACTTTTGTTTTTAATTATACCTATGTGAAATAGATTATACAATCGATTAATTATACACGTCATAAAGTTTTTATAAATGGCGACGTTTAATGTGACGTTTAATATGACAATTGCGTTACATTGATATGAGAAAAAAAAAAGAAAAAAATTGCTATTGACTACATATCAAAAAGTAGTAATATCAATTGATAACAATTTTTATTGCACAATCATATTTAATCATTCATTCTATCGAGTGGTATTATGCGTCACGATGACTTTGTACGTTCTACTAAAAATTATAATAGTATTAAACAAAGATTATCCATTTTTAGAAAGAGTTATTCTAGTTTAAAGAAATTTGAATGTTCGTATATAATAATAATAAACAATAAAGTATTTATGGATAATAGATATATATAGTAGTAATTTAATTTTAGAATATTTATATTCCAAATGATAATACTGAGAGTTGCGTGATTTAGAAAATATACAGGATAAAGTAATAACTTTGTTCACCTTGAATATCTATGTTATTTATAATAATATGAAAAAATGTTTGATACAGAACTAGATATGGCATAGAGGAGGACGTACAATGATGCCTATATCTTTTGCGTAGGTGGTGACGTAGAGGAGATTTCAGGGTCATCTTCATTTTTTCAAATGGGATAACCTATTTTTATTACCACTTTGCAATAGCCGGTGTTAAGAAAGTTTAACAAGCTATTACTGAAGGTCATTAGAGGTTAAATATCGTAATAACATAAACAATTACAGATGTTTGAAATTGTGATCATTTGCATCAAAATAAAGGTATAATCTTGGTATTGCTAAGAAATGTACACATCTTATTGTCTGTTGATATGCCCTATCATTACAGTACAAATAGTCACAATTTTAAACATCTTCTGTAATAGTTTATTTTATTACCACATGTGAGCTTGAATGACTTTTATTAATAGCTTGCTGAAACTGATTTAGTACCGGTTATCACAAAACAGTAAAAAATAGGACTTCTTATTAAAAAGAAACATTGGTAATTTTTTAATTTCGTAATAAAAGGATTTTGAAAACGAATTATTTCAACCATTACATTTGCCCCTTGTAAAAGTGTAACTTTTTCTTTTAAATGTTTTAATACGGAGGACAGAGTTATTATCGGATTCTGTATGTTGTACGATTATTTAACAATACTTAGACAAATTCACGTATTCTAATGAAATCTACATCCAATTTATTTTATTAATTTGATGTATTTAATACTAGAATTACGAATTTATATAATTGTAAGTTAACAATGAATTGACAAGATTTAAAACGATACTAATTGTAAGTTAAATTCAATATTTGAAGCAAAAGTTGATAATAGCCATAAATTTTTATTGGTTTCCAAACGAAAAATTTCAAATACGTGTACGTCATATTGGAATAAAAATTAGATTAACAAAAAAGAAAATTTACATACTGGCACGTGATTTCAAAGTCGTACGGAGGGACTTTTAAATACAATCGTTAGAAGAACAAAATTATTTGAACGGAAACATGCGCGAACACTTTTCATTTATCCTTGAAATATTATCGGTAGTATTGTATAGCTCGAGTTAAAAATTCGATTATTTGCACTTTGAACCTCTTCTTCTAATCTTTATCAGCAGAGATAAAATGATCATAAAAATTTTTTCTTCCGACTGTCGTTTTTATCGTGTAAACTTGATATATGTACAATTGGTTTTCTCAGGCAGTACCTTTAAATAAAATTTCCTTTTTTTATATAAATTTCTTACATTATTCGTTTATATATATATAAAAAAAAAAAACAAACAAAAAATGTGCTTGCATAGCATCTAAAATGTTTCAATGCGTATATTGAAAATAAAAAAGAAAATAAATCGAAGATAATAAAATGAACTATGAACTTTGGATAATATCAAAATTTTGCGCATTCTCATAACTCTTAATGAATTATAAGTAGATGGATAGGTCATTTAAAACGCAATAAGAGAAAAGCCCTTATCTATGACAATTAGTGTATTATACGACTAATATACTTTATTTGATCACGTGATTCGGTAAGTGATAAACGATTCTTGGAAAATAATTTCCGATAATTATCAATGAATTCTTACATTTTTTGTATATTTTTTCTTAAATATAATCGTCTTATCATAAGAATATATTTCTAAATAATTAAAATTATTTTCAAGCTAACAATAATAATAATAATTACCGGCAAATCCATTTCACCAATGATAAGTGAGCAAAACAATCCGTTAGAAAATAATGAAAGTTTACTCTTCTATAAATAGATATAGATAAAAGGGGTTATATTTTGATTATTAAAGTAAGAAACAACACAACAGAACACAACTACGATTATCGACACACTACCAGCGACTAAAAGACCATCTGCGTGACAATTTCCCTCGCGTCGAAATGGCGAAAATTTGTTGTACGCATGCGCTCGTAACACGATTTATTCGCTTATTTTTCCCACTCCTCTTTCAATTTTAGCACTTTCATTGGTCGTCGTTGTCACGTGTCATTGATGTCCATCTATTTACTCTTTCAACTTGCTAAAATCTACGTGACATTTGTATGTAACAGCAAGAATTTGTCAAATAAACAAGTCATTTCCTACCTAGTACTTGCTTCGGTCATAAATTTTATATAGTCGGATATAAGAATAAGTGAAAAAGTATTAGAATTGGCTATTGCTAAAATTATTAGGCAATACAAATTTATTTATTATATATCCGTATAGTATATTAATTATTTAGAAAAAAACAAAAGTAAGTAGACATTTCAATGATATGTATGTCAGTTTTTCTAATTAATACTTGATATTATCATTTTTTGCAAAAATTATTAGTTCTACTCGAGGTGGTATATTATTTATTAAGTTATTTAGATAATTTTAATAAATACTTTCGAACGTTTATTTAAAATTGTTAAAATTATCTGTTCTATATTTCCGTTTGTCTAAAAAAACTTTAAATCCGTTAATTTTCCATATACTTTCTGTTAAAAAATTGCATTAATTTTATATCGAATTTCGATTTGGATGTTACAATGGTCATTGTAATAATTTAATGCTAGAATCGTCAAATAATTTTTGAAGTTTTTTTTGCAGTATATTTAGGATTATATCCTCGTTATGGAATAAATTCTTTACCGAGAGCCATTTTTATTGCTACAAATTTGAAATTTTCTTTAATAACACCAACATATTTTTCAACAGTCATAATACTGTCTATAAGTTCTAATATTCCCTATCACGAGAAGCACTTCCATGTTCTACATACCGTCAACTTTGATAATTATTTCTAGAACCTATTCATTTATTTTGTCCCTGATTGTATACGTAATAATTAGCATAACTGTAGATAATATATGCACTCCTCTCGTTTGTTACTTTATACATTATGTAGTATAATTATTTTTGCTAAATGAGAATAATTATTAAACGATAAGATCTTAAAAAGTCAAGTAATTTTCATTTCAAGGAAGAAATATGGAAATTATGAATATTCTTCAATCGCGAACTATGAATTGAAATATTGAATAAAATATTAAAGACGAGAATTCTTTATTTTTCTTCAACTTTTTCCTTCTGTTTTTATTAATTTATTTCTTTGTTCGTTTTGTCATTGTTTTTAAAGTAAAATCTCTCGATTTTTCAGAGATATTACGAGCAATACGAGTACAAATATATGTTAGAGATCATTCGCTCGAACAATCATATTTTATTTCAAGAGTTTGCAAAATATTTCGAAAAAAAAAAATCATTGATTGATTTTATATTTAAGTTACACAAAATTGTAAACAAACGTTATCTCTGTCGGAAAAAAAAATAAAATGAAACATACAAATAAATACAAAACAATAATCTAATAATTAAATTGCTTTAAATGTTTTTCAGTATGCTCAAATGCTTTAGAATTTGCGGTTTATCTTATTTTGTTTTTTTGTTTATTGTTAAATACGAATTCTTTCCTCATTTTTTTATTTAGTAATTATTGTATTTCAATTTCTGATAAAAAGATGATGACGAACTTATTTATATAACGACGTAAATGATAATCAACAACAGTCAATAAAATACACTAATTGATTTTATGATAAGAAAAAAAATTTCCTTACGTATTTTTTCATTGAAAATACGTATAGAAGGTATATTAAACTCTCGTAAGCGGATGAGTTTACCATAT